TTTGCGGTTCTTGTTCACACCGAAGAGCTTCTCGCGGATCTGCGGCATCATCTTCTCGGCCACCTGGTCCAATCGAGCGTCCAGCGTGTTGTTCACACAGATGCGGCCCTGGCGAACCGACACCTCGACGCCGCCGCAACTGTCAAAAAAGGGGTGTCGTGAGAGTCGTAGACAATTTGGTGTTTAGACCATTTCAAATTCGTCTCCGTAGAATGGCAAAAGTCAAATAGAAGGGGCATTGTCTCACAGACACGGGAACGCTTCTTACCTGTCCTTTGGCAGGAAGTTGGCGTTGTCAATCTTAACTTCACAATCGATTCCAGCGAGTCGCTTCACCTCCGCGACTGACGCCGGCACGAGAGACTGAAAATGAGTGTACACACAACATTAACACTATCGATCTCCAGGTTGGAGACTAGTGGACCGAGTGTAGCAATACTAGAGTGCCACCGCAGAAGCGTTTCATTCATCCGGCGACCTAGAAACCGCCGATCTGGGTCAGGGTTGGTAACCGAACTTAAATTTCTTCTAAAAATACAGTGCCGTTTCTTGCAGCTTGCAAGAATGTGGCAGACAAAAGAAGCTCGAGTGGCGGGAGCGGATTTACTAAGAAGTTTGAGCAAACAGCCACCATTTTCGGAGGAAGCAGAGACTAACAGCCAAACCGCAATATCTCCTCTGGTCTGTTAAACATACCTGTTACGACGTCGTTGTCAGTAACAGACACGAGTATTTTAAAACTCAATTGTCGTGGCACAAAAAATGTAATTTTGTGAGCCAGGCACTTTTTCTTAACCGATTTTTTTTAAATCTCTGATGAGTTTTCGTTTGCTTCCACGCGTAAAAAAGAGGAAAACTATGAGAAGTGGAGGTATTGTGGATCTAGGAGCATTGATTTAAGATGATAATGACCACGCTACCTTGACGAGGTCGTAGTCTTCCTCCCTGCACTTGATTGTTGCTTCTGGCTCCACAAGTTGCAGAAGACCCTGTAAAGTTAACGTGAAAGGACTCGGCACAAAGTTGAGACTTGTAAAATATCCCATTAACAAACCCAAAACGTTCATTTCTGATATTTGATCAACACTACGACGTGACAGACTCCAATGTGACGACTTATCCTGCAGCTACGCGAATCGGCAGTCGAGGTTGAAGGCTTTTATTGACTGCTACAGCTGCTACTGGTGCAGTGAGGTAGTGGTGACAAATAACATAGCATCTTGAGGTCTTATCAACCAGGGAAATTGCTGTTTATCAGTGAGAAGTTTCCGAGAAGTTAGCATCAAAAGTGCAAGACCCAAGGAAAATTGGGAAGTAGTGATCAGTGATTTAACATTTATGTTACTGTATGGTTCTGACAGTAAATACGGAGGCAAAAAACAGTGCACCAAAGCAAACCCACAAACCGTGCAAGAGCTACACTGTAAACTCCCGACAAACAAGAAAGCAAGATAAACTGAAAAAAAGGAGGTTCCATTTTTGTCCGCTAATTATAATCTTAGTCCACCGGAAAAAGCGATTCGAATTAGAAATTAGGTTTCAAGGAACGTTAATGAGAGCGTGCTTGCAATATCAAAGGATTTAGACTAAGCTGTTGTGACAGCTACCGGACACCGACCTGAGTAAGTAGGCCACCGAGGGTGACGCGATATTGCTCAGCATCCTTGGTTGCCTCACGAAGGCGACTGCGAGCCTCTTGAAGAAGTTCTTCTACAAAATGCTCTCTGTTTTGAAGAACTTTGAGCCGCGCCTGGTGCATCAAATTCGAGTCTTGACTAGACAGGAGTAAAAAATGCTCGTAAGCTCCCAGTTGAAACACTCGACACAACCTTTCGCGTTTACTTATAAGAGGAGAAAATCGCAAACAACTGGGGCGTGATTGATGGTAATAAAAGGACCTTACGCATTAGCATTTCTCATTGGGTTTAAAAAAACTGGGCTTAAACGGTATTTTACACATTAAAATGTAGTTCAGTGGTGCATAAAAAGGCCCAGTGAATACGTGGAATGAAGTAACACCAAAATTACATACATTTTCTTGGCCAATTCTAACTGCTTCTCCTTCTTGGTGTAGAATTCCATGATTTTGAGACGTTGGTTCTGCACTAATCTCGATTTCTCAATTTGAAATTCCTCTTCAGCCTTAGCGTCAATCTCCTCCACTTTAGTGTTGGCCTCTTGGTCAATGAACGCCACGAGGCGTTGAATCTGAACATATATTATTGGTATAAAGCATTATTTATTTAGACTATGTAATTTAAGCAAAAATAGAACTTCAAAGCTTAATGTGAAGTGAGGTTGAAGCACTAAAATGTTGCGAAAGAAAATAAACCTATTCGATAACTAAACAACTTCGTAAAAGGATAAAGCCGCTTGTGATTGAATCTTAATTTATTAAGTCCTTCAATTAATCACGCGTCCTAAACATGTTTGTTACCGTTCCTCTACCACAAAGCTAATTACGGAACACTTTTGCCTCAACCAGGAAACTAAATTGTTTCATAGATTTAAAAGTCCTGAAAAAAATATAACCAGAAATTCTGGGCAAAAATTGCAAAATACTGAAGACACATGTTCAAACACGATTGAAGATTATAATGTACTGGATAAAAGGGGAGTGACTTTGTTATCAGGTAAGAATATTACCCGTAGTTTACCAAAGGAATTACTAAAAAACAGCGGAAAAGCACTAAAGTACCTGTTTCTGGACATCTGTGACGTTTAAGGACATCCCCGAGGCTAACGAAGAAAAAATTACTCAAGACACCCGGTCTGACGGAGGACGTTTTACAAGACCTATCGCTTATTTAAACAAATCTGACATGTACCGCGTCCGAAAAATAAACCAATTTTGTGCACTACATAGCGCAAAACGAAAGTCATCAAGCCTCATGTTTTTCAGAGCTCAGTGCATAAACACCAATAATATCAGGCGGGAGATCCTCAAAATCATTTATTCATTTGTGTAGTTAATAATTTCCTTAATGACATATTTCGTTGTCACAGTCATCACGGAGTGCGCTGATACCCGCGTTATCTGCTTGCTCGCTTTTACCCATGTTCATATGCTTTCAATATCCGGAGGAATTCTTTCAGCCGCCGATAAAGTCAGGTTGTGATTAACGAAAGAGCAAGCATGGGAATGCAGATTGAGAATATTCAATTAGATTTTCTGCCACTAACAACAATGCTGGAGTTTTTCAAAAATCAAAATTTTTAGGCGTCTTGCAGTACGTGGCGTTTCAATTGCCACTAACTAAAAAAATGTTTCAGAATTTAGGCTGAAATTTCGTCGTTTATAATGAATGTGTTGAGCAGATTTCAGCCCAAAAATGGTGCAAATGCTGACAACATAAGGTTTTTCAGTAAAAACCATTGCGACCTTTTCTGTAAAGGGGGTCAGTAAATTTTACTGTGCCAAAACCTATTTCTATCCAAAAAAATTTAAACATTAATTTCGACTTCATATTAATCTCATCGTCAGACTAACTAATGAAATTTCGATGTTTATTATTCACGTTTTCTGTTATTTCTGTGTAAAAGATCACTTTGGGCATAATTTTGCTTGATGTCTTGGTTATTTATGGGTTAATCCACCACGGTTGTTTAAATCTGCTTATTTTCATTCCGCTTCGGTCCATTTTCTTCAATTTTCTGTCGAAATGGGGTTGTATCGTCCCATAGAATGCGGCATTGCCGCGCGGTTTTATGAAAACCCCGAAATAATTGCAAATTTTGATCCAGTTAGAACATGGCTTACGAGAAACCACAAAAAATATACCCAGGCCGAACCGCCGACTAACAAAAGCCTTGCTGGTCTCTGTTACAACTTACTGATATTTCAAGAACAGTATTTTGGTAAAAACGTAGGTTTAAGATCTCCTTACATTTTATTTTGCTTAGGATATGCCTACCAAGTTGCCTTCGAGGCTGTTCGTTGACTTTAAACCTGGTGGTTCTTTGTGCTACATTTTCCTTGTTTGCCTGAAGTATCGACATGATCAAGGATGGAGGAAACTGGATTTCGGGTCCCCGAGGATAGATAAATTTTTGGAAATGTTTGATTGTATCCGGCGCGAATTGGCCCATCAACACTTGTGGTCAAACCCATGTCTATTTTTGTCTGGCATTGAGGAGGTATGTTCTGTGGCGTTGGAATCATTCGTATTTACATAAATCTTTTATAGCCATTACTTGGTCGTGTGCAAGAAAGTATCCTGCGTCTGGGTGCTTCTGTTGCAAAATCACCCGAAGAGGCTACGCACATAATTCACAATCCCCCCGAAAGTTGGCCTGGCGACTCTCGCGAGGATTCTAGTTGCCCTCGTTTCCGTCTCATCTTTAAAGAAGGTCGAGGTCTCTTAATTCACTGGCTCTATTCTCCCGGTTCCTATGACAATTGGCACACGAGTATGTTTCCTTTTTAAGGCAACGTATATTTAATGCTTGCCTCTTGCCGCTTTGCAAAAAAATCCTTTATGTAATTTTAAAAGGATCCTCCCAATTGGATGTTCTTTTTATGGTTTCTTCGGCTGCAGTCACGATAAATTAATTCATAGACATTCTCACGGTTTTCTTCAACGCGATGTTTTGAAGTTTCTACCTGTTCTCATCCACCACTGATTCTTTCTTTTCACAGACTTTCCTGTTGAGTGGCCCTCAAGTATTGAGCCAGAACCCAGAGTACCCGGAGGTACGCCGTGGGATGTTGACGCCAGGTGGCTTCTTTATTCGGCTGAGCATCGCGAGTGGATGTTGGAGGAAGATTTTCTGCACAACAGCAGCTCTGCGCGCCCTCGAAAATCTTATACTTGTAAGTACTTTGCTTTTAATGTATGTCTCTTAATTACTACTTTGCCCTAAACTTAAAAATTTCCGTGCTCTTTTCAAACTATCGTTCTGTCTGTCGAGGTGCACGAGCTCGGTCCGTTTTCCATAAAATAGGTCACTCAATCTTATTCCCAAGAATACTTTCGCTTACCTGTGTCCGATAAAATGCTCGTTTCAGAAAAACGTACCCGTTTTTATTATCAAAAAGGTCTTGATGTAAGCGAGTTCCCGGAAATCTGTTATTTTTTGAAGTGATAGACTTGGCAAAAACTATGCTTAAACCAGCGTCTAATCTATCGCAATGTGAAACTGTTAAGACATTCGTAAGGATATTCGCCTTAATCGGTACCAATGTTTATTAGATGAGGAATTCCTGGAGGCCGCAAGCAGTCAACAAACGCAAGCTCCGGCCTCTAGCTGGACGAGTTCGTTCTCTGCCTCGTCTCTCTCTGCGTCTCCACACATCTCCTCAACCGGTGCCCCAACGACGCCAACCGACCTCAGTCACAAGAAGAAGCGCAAGAGGTCGCCTTCGCCATCAAGCGAGTCCTACGTGGGCGGCAACAGTAATTTGTCTGCAAACAGCAAAAAACGACGCCACGGTTCCCTGGTTCCCTCCAATTCTAAGCACGGGGCGTCTAAGAAGATCAAAAAAGAAGTAAGCTCAACTGTGGCCTCTCCAGGCGTGCCCTAGTAATTTGAGGTGCGTCTGTTCTTTGTGTGAAAGCATGCTAAGCTGTTCTTTTGTTCTCTAATTTTTCAGGACTACATGGAGTTGACACCTGAGGATCAGAAAGACGATAACACCAATGACACGAATGATCTCACACGCAATCTTGACGATCCTGAGCCCTCGAATAAGGTGACCCAAGTGGCCCCTGGCACGCCAGTCACCATGACCTCCAGGAACTCTCGCACTTCCCTGGCTACAGCTGATCTTAGTAAGAGTACACCCTAAGTTTAACTAATGTCAGTTCGCCTGTGTGTATTTTCGGTTCTAACCGCTAGTCCACTCGTACTGGTATTAATTTAGTCGTCACTGGAAGGGCCGTGTACTCTTGGCAGACGACTAAGTCTGTGGTAACATTGCCTCTGTCAGCCTCTTGCGTTCCCCTAGCTGGCGACCACATGAATTCTCCCGCGGCGCCAACCGATCACACCGGTGGAGGTGAGGGCGAGTCAGTCGACGTGGGTGGTGGCCGCGGCAGCGGCGGTGGTGGTGGTGGTGACCAGATGGGCGGCGATCTCAGTGTCATTGAGCAGGCCCACTGCATCGTGATGCCGTCCTACTCGGCCTGGTTCGACTACAACGCCATCCACGCCATCGAGAGACGCTCCCTGCCCGAGTTCTTCAACGGCAAGAACAAGAGTAAAACCCCCGAGACGTATCTTGCCTACCGCAACTTCATGATCGACACTTATCGCCTCAATCCGCAGGTAATGCCTCTGTCCGTGTGGGTCGGCCTTGCGCGCATGTACTTTCTGGTTGGCTAAGCACGATCTTGTCCTCCTCCTCCTCCTCCTCCTCAGGAGTACCTAACCTTTACGGCTTGCCGGCGCAATCTCACGGGTGACGTCTGCAGTGTGCTGCGCGTCCACGCCTTCCTCGAACAGTGGGGTCTCATAAATTACCAAGTCGCCGCGCCCCTTCTCTCCACTGGGGCTTCACAGATGCCCTCGGAAGCAGCCCGGCTGGCTGTTGCCGCTAGTCTCGGTCCGCCCTCCACCGCGCATTTCAACGTCCTCACCGACAGCGCCAGTGGCCTTCAACCCCTCGGCAGCCAGAATCAGGCTGCCATGGCAGCGCTCGCTGAGGAGGCTGCGAAACAACAGAAGGAACAGCCCATCGAGTCAACCAAAACTGACGGCGATGGCGAAGTAAAGTCCGGCATTAAGGCACGTCACTTGCTTTCCCGTGTCTCGTCTAGCCACCACCTGTCTGCTCTTTGGTAGCCAATTGATTTCCTCTGAGCCAAAATAGGGTGTGGGGCAGCTGCCTCAACAGGCGATGTCCTGGCCACGTTTGTTTTTCTGTAAACCCCATACATAGCTAAAGTAGCCCCTCATGGTCTTGATTGATTGTCCCTTCTGACAGCCCGAGGTTGGTTTGGACGGTCAACCATCGACAGGGCAGTTGGGACAGATGCTTCCATCGGCGACGCCGACGCTTGGTGGTCCTCCGCCTTCAACCGGTGACCCCTTGTTGCGTAGCGACCAATACCTGACCGCCGGAAACACAGGTGGCAGTGATGCCGCCGCGACCGGTGGTGCTGCCGGGGACATTGCAACCAACCAAATTCTCACGAAAGGAGCCATGAAGGATGGCTGGACTGATCAGGAGACCCTTCTACTTCTCGAGGCCTTAGAGATGTATCGTGATGACTGGAATAAGGTTGGTTTCGTGCTCCCCTACCACGTCCCGCGTGTTACTGCCGCCGATGACCAAGCGCCGATGACGTCTGTTTAGGTTGCCGAGCACGTGGGCAGTCGGACCCAGGACGAGTGCATTCTGCACTTCCTGCGGCTGCCCATCGAGGATGCCTACCTGGAAGGTGACTTCGGCAGCACCGCGAGTGTCTGCTACTCCGCTCTCGCCGATGCGTCGCACCCCCAGCCGCCCTTCTCCAAGTCCGGCAACCCCATTCTCTCCACGGTGGCCTTCCTCGCCGCCGTGGTGGACCCGCGCGTCGCCGCGAGCGCCGCGTCCGCGGCACTCAAGGAGTACGCCCAAATGCGCGAGGAGGTGCCCGCTGGTCTGCTCCACGAACACAAGGCTCGCGTCGAGGCTGCCGTGCGCATGGGCCGCGAAGTCGACCCGACGAAATTCGGCCTCGATGAGCTGGGCATTGTCAAGCCCGATGAGAGCAAGAAGACGACCGCCGGCGGGGATGAACACGTCAAGGAGGAGTCATCCGAGGCGGCGGAGAAGTCCGTTGAGGACTCCGGCGATGCCGTGAAGTCGCAAATGTCGAGTGAAGATGGCAAATCCGAAGGCGCCGTTGCGGAGAAGGCCCACGAGGAAAGGCCGAAGGTCGGCGAGGCACCCGAAAAGGAACGGACCCAGTCCGAGGAGGTGCTGGAGGCGAAGCGGAAGAGGGACGCGGGGGAGAAGACCCCTGCCCCCACCAACTGCCTTCCTCCGAACCCCGACAGTCTGGGGACTGCAGCGGCGTGCGCTCTCGCTGCGGCTGCCACGAAGGCGCGCCATCTTGCCAGCGTCGAGGAGAAGCGAATCAAGGGTCTGGTTGCTCAGCTCGTGGAAACCCAACTCAAAAAACTCGACATCAAACTCAAACAGTTCCAGGTGAGAACCCTCGTAGACTAAAGGAGCAGTTATTTAGATGTTGGTTTGTCAAATTCTGCTTTTTCCTTCAAGGAACTCGAAGCTATTCTTGAGCGCGAACATGAGATGCTTGAACAGGCACGACAGCAGTTGATGCATGATCGACAGGCCTTCCACATGGAAGTAATCAAGACCATGGAGAATCAGGCCCGCGCTCTTGTCCAACAACAACAACAGCAACAGCAGCAACAAGTAGTAGTAGCTCAACATCCCGTTCAGGCGCCGATGCAGCAGATGCGTCAGCCCCTGCAACCACAGCAGCAGCAGCAGCAGCAGCAATTCCGCCCTCCCCTTATCCAGGCCACACCTCCGCAACTTCGACCCGCGCCTCTCATGCAGCCGAAGCCTCTAGAGACCGCCCCCACCATGGTTGGTCCGCCGAAGCTGGCGCAGTCGTCTTTGCCAGTGGTTTCAGCCGAACAGCCTCCTGCTGCTGCTCCGCCGCTTCCGCTGTCCACCGCCGGGATGCCGGAGGTCACGAGCAAGGGCGACGCGAAGATGCCTTCCGATGACGCGGTGACGTCTGCGCCGCCAGTTGAGGACGACACTAAGATGGAGGAGGCCCAAGCGTCGGTCGAGTCCCAGCGCCCCCAACCTATGGATCAGGATGACGACGAAGGAAACGAGGACGAGAACGACGGAGCCGGTGGAGAGGGCGATGAGGACGACGGCGAAGACGAGGACGACGAGGAGGAAGAGGACGATGAAGACGCCTAGGAGGCTCTCTGTCTTCACGTTGTGCATTTCCACTCTCTCTCTCTCTCTCCTAACTTTATACATATGTTAACACTTCATCCTTGTTAATGTTGGGTATTATTATTATTATTATAACCGGACTATGGTCGTGTTCAGTAAATGCGTCATCATCATTTTCCTGTCGTCCTGTTGTTGTTGAACTAGCTACACCAGTGTGAAGATGCATTGCTAATTGTTCATGTGTGTTCCTATCCACAAATATGAGTACATTAGTTGTAAAAATCTTGTCTGGACAAGGAATTCGTTGCGGCAGTGAATTCACCTGTCGTCTGTTGTGGGTGATATGTAATGTATTTACTTGAACACTTTTTCAGTTGATTGCTAAAGGTGTACTTAAATTTTATCCATGTTACTGTAGGATAGGGCCAGTCACTGAAGAACGGTAGTGGCCTGTGCATGCTTAGACATGATAATCGGACAGTTTCAATCGATTTTCCATTTCCTTGAGCTGCTAATATTAGTTGGGATCTAATGTTTTTTTTACAGTGGGATGTTGGAATTTTGGGGTTAGGTAGTTCAATTAGCTACCAATTTTTCATGTGATCAGCGGATTTCGGACCAATTTGCATCCTTTCCAGTTGGAATACTCCGATTTCTGTTGGGTCACCCATGGAAAGCGTGTTGATGATCGTTTTGCGCGACGGCTGGCTGCCCAGACCTGGTACCAAGTGCTTTATTTTGCAATACCACGTGTCTTTATCGTCGAGTCTAAAATTTTGAGTAACAGCCACACCGAGAGCAACACGTGATTGGTCGACGCCGTCGAAGTGCAGCTTCAAAGCTGATAGGTTGTTTGGATTCAAAATGCACCAATCGTTGAACGCTAAATTCCCACCAGAAAAACCGCCTCAGTTTGCCGCTGTTGCGTGCCTGGGCAAGATTGTTTCGATGCCATTGGCCAATCGGCTCGCATTGTTCATCAAGTTATGAGCATCCGACACACATTCCAGCTACCAATCAGGCAATGTTTATTGGCACAGAATTGAGCTACACTGTTGATCCATTGCCAGGCCTAGCCAAAAGCGACATGCGATTGGTCAGTAGCACGGAACCCGGAGCCAATGAAAAAAAACACACGCTTAGATAAGTACAATTCTTAAAAATCAAATCACTACACTGCAATAGTCAAGCTGACGCTTTTTACGGCTTCGCATTAGTCCCTTCAGCCATGGCATTCGCCAGATCAGCGGTGGATATCTTCTCGGCGTCCAGGGCGTCCAAGTCTATGTGCATTTTGCCAGCCAAATGGGCACGGAGGCAGTCGCGGTAGGACTTCAGCTGCGCTGCGCAGGGATCCTCTTTGAACTTCTCACCGTACAGAAAGCGGGGAAAGAACTCAAAGAAGCACTGCTCGTAGTCGTCCTTCAGCTGGTTGCACTCGACTGCTATGCTGCCAAGACGGGCGGTCGATAGGTCCTCCTTCTTCGATGATGACGACGACGACGACGGTGCAGATTGCGTGGGATTTGAATCGGGCATTTACCCGTGACGATCTACAAAACGCAGCCTTCTGATTTTAATTAAGTACAAATAGCTGCCGTGTAGCACATCACACTAGCCAGATTGTTAATGAAGCTTATGCAATGATTACTTTTTAGGCTGCAAGTCTTCGACTAAATTCCGGAGCGGGAAGTTGAAAATAATGGCACCGAACGGAGAGAAAAGTGACTCGAAGAAACAACAAACAACTTGCATAAAAGGCCCAGAATACCTGTTTCAAAGCGCTGATCTGACGAGGCTGCACTAAACTAAACAGCATACTTAGCTTTCCCTAAAAGTACTTTTAGATGTTTACTTGAAAGTATGATGATACCGTTGTGGATTTAAGCATAAACAGGTTTAGGAACCAGTAGACAAATTAGAGAAATCCAAACAAAAGACGCCCCCACGTCTTAAAAACAAAGTCAAAAGGTGAGATCGAGGTGTTACAATCCTAAGAACTGAAACCATCCGCCATAATTTGGATGCCTTTGTGCATAACACGAGGACAAGCATCAACCAGGCCTTCAATCGATATACACAACTAGGAAATAAGGCAAGCTCAAAAATTGATTAAGGGACCATAAAAATCTCGACCAAGATGCCGTGAGCGGCGCAACGAATTTCAAGTTTAGTCAAGACACCAGGCACAGCTAAGAAATCACGGGCGAGGTCAGTAATCACCAAGCGAATACGCAAAATGGTTTGCTAGGATGAGCTGCAGTGAATTAAATAAAAATCAGAAGAAGGGAATCGTGTTGGAAAGTTAGTTTTTTTTGTCATTTCTGATGTATCGTAGCGAATGTACAAGATGGAGTCCAGGGAATGTGGAGAGGCAACACAACTACAAATCCCACACGGTTGGCTTCCGCCTATAGGCCTTGGTCATTGAGGCGGTTCGTTTGACTGCCAAGCGCTTTTCATTTTCCCGTAGGTGACTAAAATTAAAAAAATTAACGGACACTTTAGCCAAATTAAAGTAAAAATTCAGTTGCTAAACAAGATGCTTGTTGATGTGTCTGGAGCAGATAAATTAAGCAATAAAGCTCGTTTAAAGTGCTTAAAATTGCGGAACAAGACACACCTTGTTAGGTACTGAATAGAGTGTTGTAGAAACCAATCATGCCACTGTATAACTACCGTTGATGACAGAAACATGTACGACACAACCGCTTGTGGAGAAAAGTGATTGCTTTCGTTTACAAAACTCATTTCAAAATCGATTTTGGAACTACACAAACACATTATTTATGATTAAACAGTCTTTGGTAGCATTTATAATGATACTGGACGAAACGTTGCATAACACATGGAATGGTCTTACCATATTCTATGCTTTTCAACCGTGTCTTCAGAGGGAAGCGGTTTGTTCATCTCAGTCAATCGCTCCCTTATCATTCGCCTAATTCGCTCAAAACAATCAGCCTGATTAAGAATCTGTTGACGTGTTCTATCGGATTGAATAACGAAGTATCCATCCTTAGTTATGCGGTTCGATTCCTAAAACCAAATCGATCCAATGTAAAAATAACCTTCTCGATAAGAAATGGCTTCAGGTCCTCGGGGATCCATGTAGCGGATGCAACGTGAAATTTGACTTGGACCTTCGTTAGAGCTGGAAAAAAAAGTAATTTAATCCGAAGCTAATTACTTTTATTGACATGCTGACCACCGGGACCGCTCGACGTAGAATACGTTACCTGAACCTCATCTAAATTTACCGATGAAACAGGACATCATACTCAATGGTATATATCCACTAAATGTATTTTTGTCTTGCTGTAGAAGAGATATAAAAACACATCTTAACTAACCATAGTGGATTTCTGGGATTCTGTACCATCAGTGGAAAATGTATGATTAAAACAGTAAAGCACGGATTTTGCTGCCTGGATCTGAGGTTCATGCGTGAAGAGCCGCGGAACGCAGGTCATTAATCTCGGGAGAAAGTGAAGGAGACGCATCACCTCGAACCGTTAGATATTACAAGAGCCTCTGCGGTGAGGTGCAATGTGGTGTAGTGTGGTGTGTGGTGTGGCGTCGGATTAGGGCGCAGACATATTCGACCACGCTGGCCTCAGCCAATCCTGTGTCTCTCTGCGTTCCAATGGCATGCGAGGAAGGTAAGCAGCCAACCAGAGAAGGACATGGATGAGATGCAGTATATAATGAGCGGCGTGGCCAGCGTGGTGGACACGGATGGAAGGCGCCTGACGCGTGGCTCTGGCTTCTGATTGGTCAATAAAGCCTGTTCTGTTGTACCGGTCT